GAGAGATAGGCTGATAATAGAATATACTTAGAATCACGAAAATCAGCAAGAAAAATCAAATAACCCTATAAAAAGTGGCAAAGGACTTGAACAGAAACTTTTCTAAAGAAGACAAAAAGAATGGCCAACAAACATATGAAAAATGCTCAACATCTCTAATCATGAAGGAAATGCAAATCAAAACCACAATGAGATAAACTTAATTCCAGTTAGAATGGCCTTTATCAAAAAGTCTCCAAATAACAAATGCTGGCGTGGATGCGGAGAGAGAGGAACACTCCTAACTGCTGGTGGGACTGCAAACTAGTTCAACCTCGTGTGAAAGCAATATGGAGATATCTTAAAGCGATACAAGTTAATCTACCATTTGATCCAGCAATCCCATTGCTGGGCATCTACCCAAAAGATCCAATGACACTCTACAAAAAAGATACCTGCACTCCAATGTTTATAGAAGCACAATTCATAATTGCTAGGCTGTGTAAACAGCCCAAGTGCCATCAATCAAGAATGGATTAATAAATGTGGTATATGTATACCATGGAGTACTATTCAGCTCTAAGAAACAACGGTGATATAGCACATCTTATATTTTCCTGGTTAGAGCTGGAACTCATACTACTAAGTAAAGTATCCCAAGAATGGAAAAACAAGCACCACATATACTCACCAGCAAACTGGTATTAACTGAGCAGCACCTAAGTGGACACATAGGTACTACAGTAATAGGGTATTGGGCACGGGGGACGGGGTGGGTATATACATATATAATGAGTGAGATGTGCACTATCTGGGGGATGGTCATGCTGGAAACTTAAACTTGTGGGGGGGAGGGGGGAAAGCGCATTTATTGAAACCTTAAAATCTGTACCCCCATAATATGCCAAAAAAAAAAGCTATCAATATACTCCTTCAGTTTATAACTACGTATCAACAAAAGTAAGATCACAATATACTAAATACAAAAACAGATTTGAGAATTCAGTTGTCTCCTCTTATTCCAGACTCTTAAAGGATTTACAGACATGTAAGAAAGAAAAAAGCCAGATTTCTCACTAAATTTTCTTTAATAAATTAAAAATATTTTTTAAATTCTCAGCGTTAGTTTCTAATATAGTAAATATCAATAGATATCACCACGTACACAAAAGCTTTCTGAGGTCCTCAATAATTTCTAAGAGTTTACAGAGCTCATAAAACTAAAAAATTTTAGACCTGCTGATTTAGGCAGTACTTTGGTGATAGTGCCATGTACCTCCCATAACCCAAAAATAAAAAAAGAACATGACCTCTGCTTGTCCATCTTCAGTGTTATGACTGACCACCAGGCTTTGGGTGTTTGATTCATTCATTCATTAAATTCCTATCAAAAAATTGTTGCCTAGATCTATTATTTGGGTGAAAAAACAGTAATCTTCTAATTCTATCATTCCTCCTTTATTTGTTAGGATTTTTCAATAGAGAGGAATTGCCCTTTTCAACCATTTGGTTACCTTAAAATACTGTTTACACTGGGGAGGTAAGAAAAAATGTATTATTTCCTCCCCTTAATTTATGAGTTTCAGAATAATGAGTTTCTTAGCAACCTCTTAGACTGATTACAAACCTCAAGATGAGGCTTTTCCCTTCATATGACTTGTCCAAACACTATTCTTTTTGATGTTCAAACTGCTTTATCATGTGGCAAGTGGGACTTTTTCAAGTTTGTCCTTTAGACATGACTTACCATCTCTGATAGCTTCCTTCCTCTCGAAAATGACAAATTATCCCAGGTTCATTAACCATATTATTATACAAAACCATTAGCAAAAAGTCTTATAACTAATTTTAAAAAACACCCATCTTAAGAATAGTCCCTAGATATCTTGCCATTAGGTATTTTAGCACCACGATGTTAAGTAGATCCTTTCTTATTTTCCATCACCTGACTGACCACAAATTACTCTTTTCCAATCATTATTTACCTTACCAGTACAAACGAGCTTGCTAATTCTTCCCTTTTTCCACTTGAGCAAATCTCCGCCTTTACCACATCCCAGGTCCAAAACAGTGATATCTCGGGTTTTTTTCTGTCGTACTTTTTCTAAAAATTCCCCTAAAAGAGAAAAATCAGTCATCATAAATGATCTCTTCTTCATTTTTACTAAAGCATAAACTATTATTTCTAATTAACTACTAACCTCTGCCTCATATGTAATATAAACAATTACTCATTCATTTATGTAGTTAAGTCATAACTTTTGGTAAGTATTTCAAAATACAACAAAGAATTAATTAACACAATTCTCTATCATTAAAGATGAAAGACTATGTGTCTGGTGTTTTAGAAAGTTAAGGCAGCTTTTTGAAGGTTACTTTCAGATTTGATTCCACATTAAATGGCAGACATTTTAAATTCGAATCAATACAAGAAGACCCAATAGTTGTTCAAAATAAGAGAAAACCTAATTATTCATAATTAGGTAGTTTGGTAGTTGTCTCCTTTCCATAGCTAGGTGTTTAGCTTATTATACACCCGAGTAAATCAAGCAGTTATAGAATGACTTTTATGATAATCAAGAGTGCTTGATTATCATAAAAGATGTCAGGCTTACCACCACAAGAAATACAAGAACTAGTAAAAAATCTGTACCTTTTAGTTTTACCATCATCAGAATCTTTAAATACCCTAGTATACCGAATAAGATTAACAGCCAACAAATAAACTCAGTAGGTCCACAAATATCAATAGACAAATTGTTCAAATATCAGTTCAAAGCACATTAATTATTCTCTGACAAGTATTCAGCAATTCTAAAAGTTTATATATAATACTGAATCCTACATCTACTCTACATATCTTTATCACTGAGTATAACACTTTCTAGTTCAGGTGTGTACTATTTTAATGGAGCCTGCAGAAGTACTTTCACTGTCTGTAGGATCTTAAAGTAACTCCCAATAGAAGCTCCATAATATTTAACTTTCTGCCATCAATCTTAACAGCATAAAAAATATAAGAATGAAAAACAATTACAAAATCTCTTTATTTCTATACAGTAAGACTGATATGGGGAATCATCATGAAACACTATTTTCAAAGAAATCTTTATCACATTCAATAACCTATTTACTAAGCTATAAGCAACAAGAAGAAAGAGAAAATGAATAACAGAGTACTGAGAAGAGAAAAGAAAAAGCCAGAGAAAAAGCTCCCACAGATCACAGTGACTGCATTTAGGATCTAAAAGACAGGTGCAGACTATAAAGCATTCACTGAGAGAATGGCTAGACATCTCAATACTATGAATATGCTGAAAGAGAAAATTTTGCCAAGTCTGACTCAAGTCTTTTTAAAACCTACCTGTTTTCCTGATTATAAAAATAACACATTTAACAACATGAAAAATATGGATGCAAAAATATTCCTTCAATGAAAAGAAACATGAGGAAATGGTACATTATAAAAAATATTCCATGATAAGTTATCTGCATCACTGGGGATAATGAGGAAGAAAGAGAAAAGCTAAAAAAGAAATTAAGACGAGGGTCTAGAAAGAAGCTTAAAAGTAGAGGCTGAAAATGCCGTATTAACCTTAAAAAAAGAAAAAAAAAAGTGAATACTCATTACCCTAGCTGACACTGGCAGAGTTCAATCAATCAAATATTTGTAATAAAACAGGGATGTGAAAAACGAAAGATAGAAAATAATAAAATGTGCTTAAAAATGAGCCTAGTTATCGTGTTTCCCCAAAAATAAGACAGGGTCTTATATTTATTTTTCCTCAAGAAGACACCCTAGGGCTTATTTTCAGGGGATGTGTTATTTTCCCCTCAAAGCCTCAGCTTGCAGCACACACAAGATGGCCAGGACCTGACAGGGGGAGTCGACCTTGTTGGTAGGGCTGCCCATACCTTTCCGGTCACCTCTGGGATAGTAGTGTCACGATGGGGCAGATGAGAAGGGCTGCTTATCTTCTTTACTGTTCCGAGATGAAATGTGTGGGTTGTGCAGATATGCTGCATAGCCACGCCCATCACCAGGTCTTATTTTCGGGGTAGGGCTTATATTGCGCGCAAATGCTTAGAAATCCTGCTAGGGCTTATGTTATGGGTAGGTCTTATTTTGGAGGAAACACAGTAGTTCCTACTCCTAATGCTTCTCAGAATGGATAATTTATCTCTGAAAATTAGTAAATTATCATCAAAACTAGTAGGAAGTACCCATAACTAGCATATTATTCTTTTTTGTATAATTTAAGAAAGCATCCTCGATTTTTCATAGACAGGCTGAAAGAAAAATTCTTTATTATGAAAAACTACAAAACACACAGGCTTTTAAAATGATCTAAACTCATTTAAGAGTCTGAATACTTAACACACTAGATATACAAAGCAATAATAATTATATTCCGAATCATATTTTGTCTGCTCATTTTAATTTCAAAGGTGAGTTTCCACAGATTAAATGCTTGCTTCAAAAAGTTGAATGTCAATCCTCAAAGTAAATTTTATCTCTTCCAAGAGACTATGCAAGAAAAACAAGATCAATGGACAATTAACACACATGACCTTTGCCAGCTCACTAAAAAACTAGAGACACAAAAATCAAGACACTGCCTAAAATCTTGACTTAATGGAACCTGAATGTTTAATCCAACAGTATGCCAGTACCCCAAAACTATTAGAATGAAATAGATTACTTAATAGCACCAGGAAACTTTAACTCTAAGTATAAAAGCACAGTGACTTTTGAAAGCCTGATTAACTTAATGTCAATTAAATTCTCATTAATATCTTATGTAGTCAACTAAAAGTAAATATTAAAAGAATTTATCTTGAAGGCCTAGTTTTGGCTCCAGCTTTGTAAGTCAAGATTTGATAATTAAGTGAAGAGGAATTAAAGGCCCAGGTAGCTTGGTGTTTGTTAAATCACTGCACAGAAAAAATGAAACATAAAAGCTACAATAAAACATTCCAAGCTAAAAGGCAAAATGCAATCATACCAATGAGAACACTTTTCATCCAGTTATTAAAGTTTCTTAGGTAAAAAATACGACTTTGACTACGCTTCTCCAAACCAACTTCCTGAAGTTCATTGTAGTGAGCAGCTACTGTTGAGCTGTGTCCTTCTTCCAGGTTCTGAAAATAAAAGAGAATAGAACAAAATCAAGGATCAGAACATGCTTAAAAGTAAGCCTCAGAACATATGACCTATGAAAGAATGGAACACTACTGAAACCAGTAAACTTCACTGAGCAATGGATTAACCACAAGAATTCCACTAATTACTGTCAGGCCTAAGGTTTGTTTTCCCCTGTTCCCTATTTGAAAAGACATCTCTAGGTTTAAAATTTTCACCATGATTTTTCATCTATATAATTTTAGTGTCAATGTCTTAATAAAACCAGTACTCTTCCAGAGTTCCAATTTATTCAATTCAATAAAACACAGTCAAGTGGATGGTGCGCCTCAAATGGAATAAAATAGGAATAAGCTGTAATTACCTATTATTATAAATCCATTGTAAGAATTAAATAAGATCATGTATATAAAGAGATTAGGACTCAGCAGGATACATTCAGTGTCAATGATTTCTATTATTATGTTACCATTACATGCTATTTGTAACCCAACAATTTTTAATCTGTGTTCCTTGAGGAGCTAGATACACTGTAAAAATGCTATTAGGTAAAGGGCTTCAGATTCTCCCACCTCCCTCTTCAGCCAAAGAAGTGCCTACTCTTTTACCTATGGTTCTGCTAATAAAAATTTGGAAACTGCATGTAAAATACAAGTGCCCCTCCGTTACAAGGATTCGCACTCCACAAACAACAAAAGCCTGGCTTACTGGCCACTTTCCTCTTCAGGGCCAATGGTAGAATTTTACACATTCATTAAAGTACTCTTTTCCTCCAACTTCAGATTCTGCCTCAGATTCCTTTCTAATACAGTATTCCCAGATGAAAATGACTTGCTGTCCCTCGTTCTATAACATCCTTGCTAAATATCAGGCATTTGCATCCACTGAACTAAACCTGTACGGAAAATACATAAATAAATTGGAAACAATTATAGTTTAAGGAATTATATTAATAAAGGGATATAAAGCTGGGTATGATTTTGGAATTTATCATTTTAAGTGATAACCTTAACTTCTTTAGATAGAGATGAATACCTAATAAAAAAGGAAAAGGGTAAATCACTTGGACCTCATATTCTCGGCTTTTTTAAAACATTAAGAAAAAGCAAACTATAAACACTGGTTTTTCAAGTTTCTAGTAGAATAAGAGTGCTAAAATAACATACTATTCTACCGCTGCTCTATACATTTCAAATGAACATACTCTATTACAAATAAAATAGATTCAACATACTTTCTGCTTTTCAGAAACATCCTCAAGTTCTATTTTTCTCTTTTTTTGAGTGCCATCTCCAGTGGAAGGTTCATCTTTGAGAACATCATCAGTTTCTCTTTTTCTTTTCTTTGACATGCCTTCATCATCACCAGAACCTTTTTCCTCTGGGACAATTTTAGCATCAAGTTTTCTTTTCTTGGATGGAGTGTCTTCCCCACAACTGGAACTTTCCTTTAAAAGATTATCTTCAAACTCTTTCCTCTTTTTTGGTGTGTCTGCTAGCTCACAGATAGGAGGCTGTTCAGAAAGCCCAATCCCAGAAGCTGTTGTATTTTCATCAATACTAAATGAAGACTCTGTTTCAGAATTTACGGAGGATTTTGCCTGTTCACGAGACATCTTTTCATATTCCTCTGCATTTGCAGGCTTTTCCATTGTTGATTACTTAAATTGATGGCAAAACTTCATACACTAACACTGGAATGGCAAAAATTTGATATTTGTAAACACTAAGACTTTAAAACAATTTTAACTACAATTTAATTTCCACAACTAACTAGGATTTTTAAAAAAACCTCATTATAGAGAGAATATTAAAAAATGTTAACTGATACATATTATGTATGAATTTATGAATATGGCGGTACTAATTATAATCCCCCCAGATTCTACAATGTTATTTGTAAAAGTAACTATTGGCATTAAAACTGACAAATACAGTGGGGATATACAAATACAAGTTCCATTTCTCTTCTTTTTACTCTATAGCCTTGGTTCCCAAATTGTGTGTTGGGGACTATAACATATATATGCATCAGGATCTGTCATCTGGAAGATATCACAGAAACTACTAGCTTCAAGTAGAGCACCATTTCAACTGAGTAGATTGCTCTACATTCCTTTCAATGACATAACTTTGTGCAACTGAGATTTTGGTGCTATCACAGAAAATCAAGGTGAAACATGAAATGCAGTGGTGGTGTCTAATTTGATTTCAAGGCTTGAAGCTGTACAGTACCAATAAGTGAGTACATTTCATTAGTAAAGAATTGCAGTTAAGAATTAAGCACAAATATTACTCCCCCCAATTTATGTATACTAATTTTTTAAAGAGACACAAAGTTGTTAAATAAATTCTTTTAAATTCTTTGGAGTAAACTACTTAATAAATGGAACTGTTAGGTATTTCTTTTGGTGTAGGGACACTAAGGGCATCAAGAACAGAACCTTTGGGAATTTACAGCAAGGACTTCTGAAATATTTCATAATTGGTGTCCCAATTAGGTAGAGAGTGAAATGGCTTTAGATAAGTTTCAAGATTCTGCCTGCAGTTTAATGACCAGTAAGTTTCTTTCAAATATGTTCTTAGACCTATGCATAAAATGGGAGGGAGAGGGCAATAACTGATCTATTGAATAGGAATTGTCAAGGTAGTCCATTTATTAAGTAATTCAACAAATTTACTGACCCTCTACTATAGAGGAACTCAATGTGAATTATGTTTTCAAGAAGCTTACAGCTTACACACCACTATTAAAATGTTAGGCTGTATTAATCCAATCAACTGGAGAAAACGAAAAGCAAAAGTCCAAGCAAATCAGTGAGATTCAGCAAATTCAGATTGAATTCACAACCTGAAAGTTATGAAGAGGAAATTTTTTTTTTAAAAAAAAGCCTTTTGCTTTTGAGTAAAGAAAAAGAATGATACTAAATCAAGTTGCTGAAAGAAATAGGTAATTCTCGTTAGTATAGTGGTAAAAAGGAAATAAAAATTTTAAAGTAAAACAAGAAATTAAAAAACTGAAAAAAAAGAAAGAAAGGGTAAAAAACAAAGTCCTTATGAATGAGGAAGAGTTTTAAGTTCTAATAGATTTCACCAGTCCCCCATTTGAGGTAACAAAATACCCAAAGGTGCCAAATAGGAAGAATTGAATCAGACAACAAAAATCAGAAAAGTAATTTGCAGAATAACTACTTAAAATGATTATCTAGGAAAATTGGCTCCAAATATCAAACCCCTATTTCTCCTCCTCTGCCACTTACTTCCTAGTAAGAAAATAGAAATTAGTTTTTAAATTCAAAAAAGGCAATGTTACATATCATGTCTAGCTGTAACCTTTGCCTAAAATTAGTACTGGGATTTAAGCATGAATATTACTTACACAGGTCACTATTTTCACAGATGTGATATCATAAAAACATAACTGATTCAGTCAGAATAAATGACAAAGCATTCCACAAGACCACAGAAATGGATAAGAATGTTAAAAGCTGAGTGTCACACTTACAGCCAACTCATTTTCTACAAAGGCATCAAGAACACATATTGGGGAAAAGACAGTCTCTTCAGTAGACTGTGCTGGGAAACCTGGATAACCATTTGCAGAAGAATAAAACTAGATCCATATCTCTCAGTATATGCAAAAATCAAATAAAAATGGATTAAAGACTTTAATTTAAAACCTGAAACTATGAAACCACTCAAAGAAAACACTGGAGAAACACTTCAAGACATCAGTCTGAGCAAAGATGTTTTGAGTAAGATCTCAAAAGCAAAGGCAACAAAAGCAAAAATAGACCAATGAGGTAGATCATGCCAGGTTAAAAACCTGCACAGCAAAGGCAACAATTGGTAGAGTGAGGAGACAACCTACAGAATGGGAGAAAACATTTTCAAAACTATCCATCAGACAAGTGTTTAACAATCAGAGTATATAAGAAACTCAAATAATTTAATAGCAAAATAGGATCTAATTAAAAAATAAGCAAAAAATCTGAAGACATTTCTCAACAGAAGACATACAAATAGACACCAAGTATATGAAAAAAGGCTCAACATCACTAATCTGGGAAATGAAAATTAAAACCACAATGACATCATCTCATACCAGTTAAAACAGCTTTTATTAAAAATACAAAAAAATAACAGATCGTGGCCAAGATTCAGAAAAGGAGGAATGCTTGTACATTGTTAGTGGAAATGTAATTCAGTGCAGCCACTGTGGAAAACAGTATGAATATTCCCAAAAAACTACAAACAGAACTAACATATGATCCAGCAATTCCACTATTGGATATATATCCAAAAGAAAGGAAATCAGTACATAGAAGAGATAGCTGCATTCCCAGGGTTACTGCAGCATTATTCACAACAACCAACATATGAAATCAACGTGTCCATCAAAAGATGAATGGATAAAGAAAATGTGGTATATATACACAATGAAATATTATTCAGCCTCAAAAAAGAATGAAATCTTGTCACTTGCAACAACATGGATGGAACTGGAGGTCATTATGTGAAATGAAAAAAGCTAGGCACAGAAAGATAAATATGGCATGTTCACACTCATATGTGGAAACTAGAAAAGTGGATCTCATTGAATATGGAGAGTAGACTGGTGGTTACCAGAAGCTGGGAAGGGTAGAAGGATGAAGACATTCGTTAATGGGCACAAAAAACCCCAGTTAAATAGAAGGAATAAAACCTGGTGTTCGATAGTACAGTAGGATGGACACAGTTAACAATAATTTATTGAATAGTTCAAAATAGCCAGAAGAGAAGAACTGGAATGTTCCCAACATAAAGATAAATGTTTGAGGTGATGGACATCCAATTACCCTGATTTTATCATTACACCTTGTATGTATGTATCAAAAATCACATGTACCCCCAAAATATTTACATTACATACTAATTTTAAAAGTGGTGGTGGGAGGGGCGAACTCAAAGTGGAAAAATGGAAACACTCCGAACGTCAGAGAGCTGTCCCTCAGAGCTTAAAAAGATGTTAGCTTCACATCAAGACAGATATGCGATAAATGACCATATGAGCACTTAGACCTGGCTTTCCATTCACACCCCTGAAGCAAGCCATGTCTCTCCAACATTTCAGTTTCTCGAGGTAAGACCGAGCCTGGGGGCAGGGCCGCCAGACAAACGCTCAAACAGAATAAGCTCTACTCCTCCACCCAATAGCTTCACCGTTAAGTCGGGGGCCCAAGGCGAAGCAACAGAGGCGAGAAAGGGGTTCTCGAGCCAAATTCACCCCTTCCGTCATTGGCGCGGCCTCTTATTCAACTTCGCGTTCAGGTTGCCGAGGCGCCGCTCAAGACAAACCTTCGGATTCCACACCCGTCTCCCGCCCACTGCCGAGCGCCCTGGGGCGCAAGCTGAAGCAGCTCTTCAGGCTTCTTCTCCACCCTAGGCTCGCAAGCATCAGCGTCCGCCCACCCCAAGTAGTTCCCACTTTGCTTCGGGCTGAGGGCACAATGACCCCCACGCGACGGGTGCTGAAGACACAGGGCCAGTGCGAAGAGAGCCCTCGGCAGGAGTTGGAGAGACCCTCCTCAAGGGCGGCCGACGGACCAAACACAAAGAGAAAAAGGGCCAGAGCTACAGCCGCACACTCACCAGCACAGCCACACACGATTCTGTTTGCGGAAACAGCGGCCCTGCGCCACGCACGTCTTGTTACGTAATTTCCGGGGAGTGCGCGGATCACGTGCCGCCGCTCTAGCGGAGCGTGGGGGGACGCACGTCCTCAGTGCCGGAACTACGATTCCCGTCGTGCCGCGCGCGGCGGCGTGCAAAAGGCCGCGGCGAGCGGGCACGGGCAGTCGCTAGCACGTTGGTAGTGGGCGCGGTTGGCGGGGCCTGGGGCGAGAGGGGCGAGTGTCCGCCTGCGGCCCCAGGGTTCCGGCGCCCTGTCCCGCGCTTCGCCAGGTCGCTCTCCTGAGTGACACCGCTGTGGTATCCGAGGACCTGTCGTCCGGCCTGTGCGGCGGGAAGCGGCGTCGGTCCCGACGATCCAATAGGTAGCTTGGGCCCTGCGGGGCAGCGGGAGGGGTCCAGAGGGCACCTTCAACTCCCGGCGTGTGTCGGAGCAGACCCCGGGTCACACCCGGGGTGCGAACCTGGCAACTGCCTGGCGCGCGCTGCTCCTGGAACTGTGGTGATGTCCGCCCGCCGGACAGGGGTCATACACACTCGCCGACCCCACCGCCCCCGGCGGCCGAAAGAGGTCACCCCTGCCCTTCTCGGTCGGGCCAATGTTCTGGCAAATCCTGCCTTTGGGACTGTTTCCCCGCGGTAACCTTTAACACTCTTCGCTTCCTCGGAAGCTCGTTGAGGAAGGGCACGGAAGCACCCGCTGTCGGAGTTGTTTTAAAAATGAGCAATATCTTACTTCTCCTTAGGGTCGTTCCCTACCACCCTATTTGGGAAGTTATGGGAGGCCATTCTCATCTGCTAGATTCTGGTGGAAGGGTCAGCCCATACCTATGCTTGAGAAGCATGTAAGGGTGCTTTACTGTGTGTTGGCTGAACTTTAGTATGTAGTGGTGGAGGTGAGACAACACACTTTTTTTGGTCCATCACCCCAGATTTCTACTGGGGAATCGAAAGCATCTACTGTACCGAAACTTGAAAGCTCCATAGTTAAGGATTTTCAACTGAGATGAGGATCAAAACTGTACCTGTGGATAGATTGTTGATGTGTATACACATTAACATCGTTATACCGCAACACCTCCACACCGTAAGGGTGTAAAACTGATCAGATTTACAATCCATCTTGAATTATTCTTTACCAAAATTGATTGCCTTTAAAAGCAACTTTGAAAATGTCTTTTTCCAGCTTGCCTTGTCGGTAGACACAGTCATACTAATGAATAGACTTGCATGTACTTTCCAGTCTAATTACTTCTAACTTGTGAGCATTAGCCCTTCAGAGATTGTTGACCTCTTTTCTTTTTTTTTTTGTATTTCGTATGTTTTTTATTTTGCAATAATCGTAGATTCACATGCAGTTGTAAGAAATAATACAGATTCCCTGTGCCCTTTACTCAGTTTCCCCCAGTGGTAACATCTTATAAAATGATAGTATAATATCACAACAAGGATATTAACATTGATACAATGGGTTTATAGAGAATCTCCATAGCTACAAGAATTCCTCTTGTTAGCCCTTTGTAGCCACACCTACTTCCCTCGCCCAACCTCTTTTATTTATTTTTATTTTTTTATTTCAGCATATTATGGGTGTACAAATGTTTAGATTACATATATTGCCTTTGCCCCACCCTAGTAAGAGCTTCAAGCGGGTCCATCACCCAGATGATGCGCACTGCACCCATTAGTTGTGCATATACCCATCCCCTCCCACCTGCCTGACACTCGATGAATGTTGAGCACATAAGTGTTGATCAGTTAATACCAATTTGATTCTTGACCTCCTTATAAACTTTGAACCAAGAATGAGGCCTATTTTTTTCACAAATAAGGAAGACTCATCAGTTTCATGGGACTGTGCTTTTGTTTTTATTATATGGGGTGAGCTAGGTTGAGAATTAACATCATTTCATGAATATTAACAACTGCAAAGGTATAGGTCCTAGAGATTGAATGTGATAGTTACATACTTATCCAGGCATTAGAACCAGGCAATTACATTGCCTATACTTGCTGGTTCTGATGCTTAAGTTTTTGAGATAATTGCTGTTGTAATTTTTTTTTTTTGAGAAAATGAGTATGATTTTGATTTTCTAAAAAATTTTGTTAGATTAAATGCCTCTTAACTATGTGTTTATACAAACTTCACAGTGAATTGAAGTAGTGCATGGGATATATAGAGATCACATTTTGTAGTTTTTATAAAACTTACCTAGGGAGGACTCTTGAAAGTAGTAATATAAGGAGTAAATGGGCTGGATAAAAATGTTTTAAAAGTTACCATTGGTGTTATCCCCCTTCCTCATTATTGCCTGAGTAATCTCTGTTTTTCTGGAAATTAAATTAAAATAATAGCTAGTACTTTGATATCTTCTTTGTGTCAAGCTAAGTGCTTTACATATTTGCACACATTTAATTCTTAAGTAATTCAACAGAGTAGTTACGATTATTTTTGTTTTACAGAACATGAGGGTTAAGTAACTTGGCCAAGGTCATGCAGCTTGTAAGTAGTATGTAGAATCATGATTTTGGACCCAGGCAGTCTGGCTACAGAGACCAGACTCTACTCATAATTGAAACAGTGCCTGCTAAAAGGTCATACTTAGACCTGGATGTTGCCTAGTACATACAGGTAGTAGGTTTTCAGGAAGTGTTTTGAATGCTTGGGTTATTATGTACAGAGAGAAAAACTAGCTATATAAGGATGTTATCTTGCTACAATGTGAGCTCCACCAAGACAGGGATCTTTACTTTGTGCATTGATCTAACTCAGGTGCCTTGAATAGTACCTGGCTCATAGTAGGTGCTTATTGAACGAATGGATCTCTAACAAAGGTTTTTTTTTTTTTTTTTTTTTTTTTAAAGAACATATGGGATCTATTTTAACCCCTTTGTAAGAAAATGAGAACACTTCTCTCAGAAGTATAAGTTTAAAGTGTGATTTCTGTTGTAGAGTTAAAGATCATATATTTGAAACAAAATCTTTTTTTAAAATGTAGATACAATGTCATAGCTTCTTCAGATGCTGTTGTTCTGTGGGGGCAACCAAGAGAGGTTTATGGAAGGTTTGTTCCTCCAAATAGTTTTGGGAGGAAGGATTGTTCTTCTGTTCTCCTCACTAAAGTGTCGATACTGAAATTTTACTGTCTTTTTGGAGCAAATAAAATATTCTTGTTTAAAAGGTTTTCTCTACAGTTGAAAGTAAGATTTGGTTGAGAAATCTGTAAGCGTACTATGTGTGATGATTAGTTTTATGTGTTCAATTTGGCTGGGCTATAATACCTAGTTATTTCGTCAAACCCTAATCTGTGTGTTGCTATGATGTATTTTGAAAATGTGGTTAATATCTATAATCAGTTGACTTTGAAGTAAAGGATGTGGGTAAGTCTCATCTAATCAACTGAATGCTGTAAGAGCTAAAACTGAGGTGTTCTAGAGAACAAATTTTTCTCATACATACTTCAGCATCAATTCTGTCTGAGTTTCCAGTCTACAGATCTGCCTTGCACGTTTCAGAGTTGCTAGCCCTCTCCACTGTGTGAGCCAGTTCCTTAAAATAATGATATTTCTATATCTGTCTAGAGAGAGAGGTAGATATTTGTGTTTATAGCTACATCCATGTCTATATTTTTTCCTATTGTTTCTTTGTCACTGAAGAACCCTGACTGATGCAGATTTTGGTGCTTAGGGTGGCTGTAGAGAACAGAATCTTAAGAATGAGTTTTCTGAATTGGTTTATAGGGTTTCTGGAAGTGGTTCTCTACTCTGATTAGATTTAAAAGCACTAATGACCATTTCCAGCAGTAAAGAGGGCATTCATAGTCTGTGGTGTGATATGTAAGTAGAGATAGGCGAAATATCACCATTGAATACTCCTACTGCTTATAGAAGGCAAGGTTCTGGATGACCATGTATTTGATACTTTAGAACATGTTTGTCAAATTAATGAGTGAAATGAGATTGGCTGGTTGTTCCTAACTGTGCTGGAGAAAATGGGGAAAGAAAAAGATTCACTGAGGGCTTCAAATTCCCAGCTCAAGCTCCACATAAATGACCTGAAATTTTTTGTGTTTGACCTAAAGAAATCCTTATCCCTTGTAGCTGCAGAGCTGAGATTGGTGAAAACCATACCCAGAGTTTCATCCTGTAAATGACTGAATTACAATGCAAATTGAATTTCCATCCTCACCAGGGCCTACGTTGATTGGGAAAGAATGGGATCTTCACATGTGGAATGGGGCCACATGGGAATGTTCTGATGAAGCTGGGGATATTAAACCCCTAAATTTTACTGAGTCTTTTTCACTAGTAAAAGCAATCCTTTGACCTCTGCTTGGAGAGGTTACCCCTGCTTTGCCTGAAGAATGTGTAATGACCTCCCTTGGGATAGTTGGTTTGCAAGACACTGCTGGTTCAGGACTTACCCTGCCACCCCTCTTTGCTAGACTCAAGTCCAGCAGATCCTGAAAGGCAAACTACAAAGTGTGATCTAGGAGAAAGTGTACTACACTCCTTAAAAAAACTGCATATTTTTTCTTTATAATTTATCTAGACAGAAATCTGGTGAATATGTATGGGAGTGGATATTAAGGGTGTAGGGTTATTATGGAAGGAACATAAAGTTGGATTGAGCATAATTTATTGATACGGGCTCACAAAGCAGAGCTTCTGGGTTCAAAGTTGTACCACCAGGGATTAGAAAGGGCTCTTACAGTTTGGTTGGTTAGCTAAAATATGGACCAAAAGGTGGTCTACACTCAATGAAGTTGAAATGACCAAACTGCCTTGGTACACTGTGGAGGAAGGTAACCAAAGGCTTAGGGAGATTGGGATGTTAGAGTGAATTTATCATAAAAGATCTCATCTACCATGGGAGGATCCAGATGACACACCTTTCACTATGACTGTGAGAAACAAAACTTGTGAGGGAAGCCCTAGCATCCATGGAGAACTCTGCAGTTACTCTTGTCTGCAGGTCAGAAATCACAGTGGGAACTGCTGACACTGATTGGGGATCCTTAAATGCAGTGAGGATAGTTGGATCCAGGGTGGCAGGGACCACATTGTGGACCTTGATAACCAACACTAGGTGGCATGGTACCATCATGGATAGTGGAGTCAAAGCAGTAATGAAATGACCTGACTTCTTGAGACCTGTAGTGTTGGCTAGCTGATCATGGTGTCCTTAGAAGAGAAACAGATGGGGAGGGGAGTCTACTGAATTGTGACTTGATGGGTATAAGTAGAAGAGTTCTAGGTCAAGTGAACAGAAGTTTGACTTGAGTTAACAAGAGAAAGAGTCATGGTCCCCCAGTCAATTCCCAGATTTCAGTCATTTTACAGACTCAAAACCCCTTGAATGAGG